CCAATTCAGGTAGACTGAATGCAATACCCCGCGGCGTTCTCCCTCGAGGAAGCGCGACATGGCATCCTGGAAAGGTCGTGTATGCCGAATTGCGAGGCGTCTGGGTTCCTCGCCTAGGAGTCGAGGAGCTCGGTTCAACTTTGAGGGGCGGAAGGCTTTCAAGTAGTTCACAGCACTTTCAAGCAGTATTCCGAACTGGCGCCTGTCCTTGACCGCCGTGCGTTTTCTGTTGGCATCCTTGATTGCTGCCTCGGAACACTAGCAAAGCAGAGCATGCCGTCATATAAGTTGTCGGATCCGTTAAGGAGAGCTTCATAGCCTGCTGACTGGCCACACGAGCCTCACTAAACACCAGACAAGAAAAAGCATGCGACTCAGAGCTTCTTGTGTTCCTCTCACCCAGAACTATTATTCGTCAGGGAGTTCCCGCGTGCTGCTTCGGGGTATCGAACCCCGATCTACCCTCCCCCAGCTCTGCTTCCTTGCCGTGAAGTCGCACAGTAGCGGTGCCACATGATAAAGTACTCTCCCAGATTCACGGCGCTGTGTCCTCGTCAGTCGCATCACCGGGAGTTACATGTCGTCGGGCCATACTGCAGTTTTATGGACTATAGGATGCGTTTGTTCGACTGTGCTCTATCATAGTCTCATCAGCATCCTCTCGCAGAACTACTCTGGTATTTTCCGTACCATTATTTATTGCTGTCGTGATTAAAGTATAGCTACTCAGATTACCGGCTTCCCTGATCTTACTGAAACCGAGATCTTCGTGGCAACCCGCCGCGTGACCCTCACCACACCTAGAAGAATACACTACTGCTTCGGGTTTCAGCTTCGAGGGAGTCAGGTTCAGGACTTCAGGGCACTTATCCGAAGCTGCAGCAGCCCGCATGGATCCTAATGGTTTCGCATTGAAGCACTGCCTCTGCGGCGTTCCGGACCAACGGCCCTTCACGTCGCGATACACGTAGCAAGACCATCCCAGCAGCACAAGTTGTCCGGCTCTTTCTGCTAAGACAGGTGGATATTGAAAGATACATGGCCCCGAAACACACAATCTCCTGGACCCTGATGCCTTCAAAAACCTGCATGGCTGGCCTGGCTCAAACATCGAAGTCATCATCCAAACACGAACCACACCGGGCAACAGCCCCCCAACCCTGGACAAACATGCGTGCGACGTCGCAGCCGAGAAATATGTTGATGGGCCATAACATCGTGTGGCACATCGTACTGCAGTACATCGTACGAAAAGATGACACCCTGTAAGCTTGTAAGGGCGTGAAAGACGATACAGTTTGGGTCCGTGCATCTGTGCGCGGGACATACATGCGCATGTGTTCATGTGTGTATCTGTATGTGTGTGTGTGTACATATATGTATATACATATACACACACACACATCTGTCTATTTATCTATCTGTCTATATAGATACATATATACATGCGGATATACATATACGTGTCGAGATGTACATATGTATATATATATATATATACCTATACATATATATATATAAGTACATACATACACACACACACAAACGTGTGTCTTATCACAGCCCTGGCCTTTATAGCTATGTATGTATCTACTTGCGGGATCCTTGAAGCAGGTTAAATTCGGGTTCCTCTGCTATGTGTCCATGGGGGACCCTATGCCCGTCCGCTTCAGGTCCGCATTGAGGCTAATGCTGACCGGGCTCATTTAATTCAATGTAGAATGTTCCAAGCGGCTGGAATGAAATGACTGAGGCATGCACCCATCCACTTCTTGAGTGCAAGCTCTGTCCTGGGCAGATAATGTTTGAATCTGTTGGCGCACTTGCGATTGACAATGTATGACCACTCACAACTTCAGGCCAACACCCTGGAACGACTTGGTTCAGCGTCACTGGTCAGGTCAGGTCACGGGCGAAACCATCCCATGAATCCATAAATATGTGTATGTATGTATGTATGTATGTATGTATGTATGTATGTATGCATATATATATATATGTGCACTGCATCAATGCTCAGCTTTGGATTGAGATCCCGGCGTTGCTTGTGCCTGAGCCTTCAAGCGATCCTTCTCGTCCAGGGTGCCCCGGAGCTCCTTCACTACACGGGCTTGTAGTGCTGTAACCTGAGTTTGATACGGTTTTATAAAGGCATAGGGTTTTAGGTCCACGAAAAAAGCTGAAGGTCCCGAGGGTTTTACAGGGTGGGTCTTCCTCGGCAGCGGTCGGGAGCCTGTTCTTGTGAGGATCCATGGATTAGCTGATTAGTATTCGGAGTTACGCGGCCACACATCAGCTGCTGGCATTTAACAAAGCCACTTTGGCTGGACTTTGGATTTTCAGGCTTGGCGTTCAGGTTTCTAACCCTAGCTGGGTCTAGCTTGACTGCCAAGGCTGGTTGTTCTGTGTTTTGGGCCATGTGAATGCCGGGAGGCCGTCAAGATATAGGGCTGTAGTCTTTTGGGATTGATGCCTGACATCTCAGCTAAAACATTGAACAAAATCCGCCCAGAGGCCCACACCCTGGCTTCCGGCTAGGACCGAGCGCTGAAGCCCTGTCGAGTATGTGGGCGTGCAGGCTGTCGGCGAGGCTGCATGCTAATGCTGCCTCTACCCCGCTCAGACCGAGGCTGGATGTAGATGTAACTAGCTGTCAAGCGCCCAACAGCTACAGCCTGTATCCCAAAACCCTGTGACCACCAATACTGTCCGATCAGCCTCTTGGCATGGAGACTCAATGCATGTGACAGACAGACGAGCAACATTAGCTAATGCCCATTGGTTCCACAGTGCACTCCCCGCCCGAGCCCTGAAGCCCGCGACCCCGCTCCCATGCTCCTTCTCATGCAACTCCCGCATTCTGTCTTGCTCGGCCTGCCGGGCATGGGGCGGGCTTTGCAACATGCAGAGCAAAGCAATGAACAACGAACTGCTACATCGCTGATGATGTGGGTCGCTGAGGCCCACAGTCTGGTGGAAGTAGCTCAGAGTGCTCACGAAAGTCCTTGCAAGGTCCTTAAGCCCGCGACATCGGAAACTTGCCAAGGCAGAAGCCGCGGAATCCAAACACCAAACACTTAACAGAAGACTGACGCTGGTGACTGCTTAGCCACATCGAACCTACCACCAGTCCCAGCTAAGCTTGACTTGGTCATGCCACTTGCCGAAACCTCAACCCCTTCGTGCCAGGGAGCCTCCCAGTGGGCTTTTTGCCTTGCTAGGACATCCTGCAGGTCGTAGACTTCGTAGACTCGATGCAGCTTCCCACAACTGACGAATTGACGATCGACAGTAGGAAACTTTGAGAACTCTAAAAAATCAACACTGGCCAGGCCAGGTGGTAGGATTAATCGCACAACTTCCACACCAGCGGAACAACCATGGGAGCGAAGCCAACAGGGTTCACAGCCCATCAGAGCAGGAAAGATATACACATGCATCCGTCCCCGAACCCCAGAAGCCGAACGAGCCACAGAAACACCAAATCTCCTCCTTCTCTCGCTCGGCCTTCTCACCTGAGTTGCATCTGTAAGTGATGACAACTACAAGACAGTATGAGAGTTCGAGGCGGAGCTCTAGCAATAGTGCTGATGATGAACATAAACATTAATAGCAATAATCTGACTAGACTCAGTCGTCGTAGTAGTAGTAGTAGCAGTAGTAGTAGTAGTAGTAGTAGTAGTGATAGTAGTGATAGTAGTGGTAGTGGTGGTAGTGGCAGTGGCAGTGGCACTGGTAGCGGTAGCAGGAGTAGTAGTAGTATTAGTAGTAGTAGTAGTAGTAGTAGTAGTAGTGGTAGTAGTAGTGGTAGTAGTAGAAGAAGTAAGAGTGGTAGTAGTCGTCGTCGTCGTAGTAGCAGTAAACGTAAACGCCAACGTAAACGTTAAACGAGCAGGAGCAGCGGCTGCACCTTATATGGTTGGAAAGATAGCTCATGTTGGTGCACATAGGGTGGTCATCCGAACTAGTACTAGTAACTAGTACCAGTACTAGAGCTAGTACTGGTACTAGTACTAGTAGCAGGAGTGGTCGTCGTCGTCGTGGAAGTGGTGGTGGTAGCAGTAGCCGTCGTCCTCGCCGTAATAGTAGTAGTAGTAGTAGTAGTAGCAGCAGCAGCAGCAGGAGTAGTAGTAGTAGTAGGTATTGGAAGTGGTAGTCGTAGTAGTAGGAATGAATAGGAATAGATGCAGCCGTAGTCCTAGCAGTGGCAGCAGCAGCAGTGAAGTGGCAGCGGCAGTGGCAGCAGGCAGTATACACTCGGCAGGAGGCAGGCGACAGCAGAAGTCGGCAGTCAGGTTGTGTAGTAGTCGTCATCGTAGTAGTAGTAACTAGCACTAGTAGTACTACTAGTAGCAGTAGTCGTAGTAGTACTTTGAATAGTAGAGTACTAAGAGTACTAAGAGTACGAAGAGTACTAGTACTAGCACTACTACTAGTACTAGCAGTCGTGGTGTAAAGGTAGTAGAGGTATAGTGGCAGTACGGGTAGTTGTGGTACTGCCAGTAGCAAAAGCAGCAGCAGCAGCAGCAGTTTCAGTATAGCAGCTGCAGCGGCAGTAATAGCAGAAGCAGTAGCACTAGCAGTAGCAGCCACAACGACATCAGCAGTAACAGCTGTAGTTCGTAGTAGTCGTAGTAGCCGTAGCAGTCGTAGTAGTAGCAGTAGTACCAGCTGCAGGAGTAGCAGCAGGAGCAGCACTAGTACTAGCAGTAGTCGTCGTAGTAGCTGGTAAAGGGCAGCAGCCGCAGCAGCAGCACCACCACCATTACAAGAACCAGCGCTACGACAGCACCAAAGATCTCACTATTGCTGCTGGTACCGGTACTAAGCAAAACAAAGACTAGCATCATCATCTGCTCCTACAAACCGAACCAGAAAATACATGTGGCTGCCCGTGGCCAACAAAACTTCGCACCAATGAGTGCTCGACGAACGGAGTCTTTTGAGACATCAAGGCACAAGCGTCGAGAAGCTCATGACACTGGTGGTAAAAGGAAGTCCTCTGTGGTCTATCGGCTGCTTTTGGACGTCCCGAGTCAGATTCGAGCGGACATTGCCGAAAGCATCAAAGACCTGTCGCAGCAAGCTCAGCTCAGGCAAAATTCAAGGCTCCGGCAACCGAACATGCGGGGTGGCTTCTGCTGCTTGGTGTAAGACCAGCGGCGCCAACTGTTGCATAATTGCATGATAAATCCGCAATCGAAACGTTGAAGCTTATCCTCAACAGCTCGCTCTGGTCGGAATCAATCCTTGGACAGGACATCTTCTCAGCTGCAGGACATGCGAATACACACAGGCAGCATCTCCTCTTGAATACAAGCCACTCCAACCTGGAGGCCGTATGATTCTCCAGGAAAGCATACCTGTCGGCTGGCTAAAGACTCAGGCGAGGGTCCAACTAAGTTGCCATCAAGCCCTCGCAGAATGAAAAACCACTGAGCTAGGTAGCCCTAAATCCTTATTCAAGCTGCGAGGCAACTGCAAGGCAAGGAGGGTGGAGCAAAGAATAGCCGCCACGACTGTCGCCGAAAACCCCAACCACCTCAGTTCCAGGGTGGCACATGCATCTTGTGTCTTCTGTCATTAATGCCACTGTAACGCGATCCAGACACGTCTCTTCTTGCAGGATTCCTTGCACGGGGCTCCGGAAGTAGTCCAAGGACCTCTGCAGTGCCCCCAGGCCCCAAGCCCAGCAAGGGCATGCAGGTGGGCGCTTCGCACATCGCGCATATCGCACGTGCTGCGCAGGTGCTTGAAGCTCGCAACGCGCCGTCTGAGACCATCCGGCATTCCAACATCCAGCGGCCATGTGGCGGTTGCATGTGAGATGCCAAAGTGCCAGGGGCTGTTGCTAAAAAAAGAAGTGTGGGCGTGAGTCAGTGTTTGTGGACGCAGGGAGGCTTGGGCCTGGTGGGTTTTTGGTTCATGCGGCCTTAACTGTGACTCCATGATCACAGGATACCTTTCGGGTCAGCATACATGGAAGCATTGTGCCATGCTGGAAACTGCGGGTCGGGGCACACGACTTCCATGGATTCTACATTGTGTCCGTGAGTGCCAGGCTGAGCTCCGAACATCTTGTGCCGCCAAGTGCTCGAGGCCAGCAAGAATGGCTGATTCCATGGACCTTCCGGGCATCGAAAAGAACCGTGCCATGGCCGCCATGGGGTGAGGCTCTGCGAGGCTGCGCAGGCTGCCAGGCTGGCCTCATCAGCTCCGGCACTGTCCCACTCATGGTGGCAAAGCTGCCGGCCAATGAAACCAGCCTCAGGCAATCGCTATGAGAATCATCAGAAGCGACGTCGCTTGGTGGCTTGGTGGTTCTATGTTCCTGCAACTGCCACTTAGAACCCCCAAGCCGCAAGCTCTTGTGGGGTCAGTCGATATAGGCGACGTGCGACCTTGCGCGCCCTACGATCCCCCCGATCTCCACTGCCAAGGCCTCAATTTGATTCGGAAACTTGATGCCTCGTCTGACAGGGCTTCCACCAGACCGTCGCAACGCCCCATCCTAGACAAACGATGGCCGATGAAACAGTCAGGTCTGAAGTGCAACTTGCCCTCGGCCCACCAACTGCCGTGACAGCCTGAGGACGCAACTGCGCCAAGCACCTCGGAGCCAGGCATCCATGTCACATTTTCCCGCCCTCACCACTGCAAGCTGTGAAACAGGCAGTGGAAAAACCCTTCTGACGCGTGATATTGCCATCTCACCGTGGCATGCACGATGAGTGTCATGACTCGGTCGCAGACCACGCCGAGGAGACCAGTTCGGAGTCACTGAAGCGTCGCATGCATCTGCACGCTGCTTTTGCCAGTGCCTGCTGAGACTGCAAACATTGCAAAACAACCGAGGTCCAAGTGCGCCCGCTGCCCAGCTGCAGCACGCTTCAATTGAGGGCACATGCCTCGCTTGCCACTTCTTGGCCCGGCAAACGGGCAAGGCACTGCAAGGCATTAGCCTTGCAAAGCTTCTTGATCATGCCAGCATATGCCAACCATACACTGCCACTCCACGTGCAGAGTACAAGCAAATTCAAGCAAAGGAGGCACACTATCAATGTGTCGAGTATCTGCAAGCCCTACAGGGGCCTACAGAGGAAAAACTGCTGTCGTCATTGCAGTGGCCGGCAATGGCCGGTACTGAGTAAGCAAGACATACCTCAACCGAGTTCTGGACCAGCTGCTGGGAAGTAAAAGCATCTGCCTGGAAGCCACGGCGGGTGTTCTACCAACACGGCTAACGGACATAACAGCCTTTCTCTCCACATGAATGAAAGCGATACCCTGCAAATGAATCGCCCAGTTCCGCTCCATCCTCCCCGAGCGGAACACTCTTTTCCTTTGTATGGTGCCTGGTTGAGGGCTTGTAGTGTAGGGCGCTGTTAGGGCATCTGTTCGGTGTCACATTAAAAACAACTCGGATTACAGCTCCATGTCCCATGATGCTGCCCGGCCTCAGCGGCACAGCGGGCGGCCAGTCGCTCGCAAGGACCCTCCTCTGCAAATGCCGGCCTCGAACGGGACAGCTGCAAAGAGACGAGTTTGGCGTGATTCAGAAAAGTGTTCCCTGGCTGGGAAGTGACAGTGGGTCAAGCTTCGGATCAAGTTGCCGAGGGCCCAACTGCCTGGACATCGTCCACAGCCTTGGCCATGCGCAAGCGCATGCATCGCATGCGCTTGTCAGGGCTGAGCATAGCTACCCGTTTCTGCCGTTTCTGAAGCATGCGCAGATTGCCAAGCTCCTCTATCTCGCAGCTGTCGGCCTGCGATGCAACCGCTCAGAAGAATCCGAAGACATGCCGATGCAGGGCGTACCATGTCAACTTGCATTCTTTGATTCGAACCATCTGTCTCTCACAAATGATGCTGAAGCTGACTTCCTTCAGACCAAGAAGGCCAAGAACTGTCAGTTGCAGTGCAAGCGGGCAATCAAAGGCTCCATCGGGGTAACGTCGGTGGTAGTTTTTGTTGCGCGATGTCACAGCTCTGGCAGGCTCTGGCTATTCATCGACGAGAGTACATGATCGGTCCGTTTCAGTGGGTGACACCTGTCCTTGCCACCGGTCGAACCTGATCCTGATAAAAGGATGCATCACTGACAAATACTGACAAGCTGGCGGTGCTCACAAGGCCACATAGAGAGTTTGCACCGAAGCTTCCTCAGGAAAGATTGCGACGTCTCGGCACCACATGAACATGCACATACAATGCAAACCGTTCTGCTGCGCGCTCAACCTGACCGACATTGTACCAGTTCGCATTACGAAAGGATGCCGACCGTTCGCGCTTATCGTTTCCCACTGAAGAACCAGAAATGTTTTCAAATGCGATGATAGCCAAAGCTGGCTCGCTTGACACCCTTCGGCGCTTCGGATGCCCCTGCATGGAGGAGTGACAGCTCGGGAAAACGAACCGCACACTAGCAACCGAGGCCCGTACCTGGATCATGGCTCACAACCTACTGTACCGAAAACTGAACAGCCCTGAAGAGAAGGTTCTCGGCAGGGGAACTGTGAGGGCCCACGGAAAACCGTCACGAAGGAAGGCTCGAGACAGCCCCGACACCAGGCAAGCGAGACAAGATAGACCAGCACACCGGGACTCCGTCTTGAAGAGGCCACGGGGAGGTTGACCTCGATTTTAATTGGCGATGCTAAGCGAAGAGGACCGATCGTCAGCGGGAATCCAACAGACTGCCTGTGAAAGACAACCCAGACAGACCATAGAAGCAAAGGAGGCGGCGCTTTGGGGGTCCAGGGTTTTTCTGTGTGTTTTTTGGCGTTTTATTGGTATTCTTGTTTGTTTTTCGGCTCGATCCATATACAAAACTTGCATGCAAGAGTCACAAGGATGGCGACAACTGAGGCTTTAGGACGAGCTTGGCAAAGCCTCATACGAGTTATGTGCTTGGCTTGAAATCGCCAATGGCGAAATAGCGTTCTTGACGGCACGACGTTCACTAAAGCACGTTCACA